AGCCCTTACTGGGGTGGTCCTGAGCGCGGACTGATGGATGGACAGCCGCTGGCACAGCCCGGGCAAGGTGTTCTCCTCATTGCCTGCCAGCTCTGTGAGCCAACATAGGGAAACCAGTCCTTGGCTTTTCAGGAGAGAAGGAAATGAGTCTGAGAGTCTGCCTGGATTCTCATCTGTTTCCCTGTGTCTTCTGTCCCCTATTGGAGTATGTCAGCTTCCTGACCCAGCCGGTAGCTTTTCTCCTCTCCTTTCTTGATTATCCCTGCAGTTGTGCAGTTCCTTGTGGCAGCTGTGCTCTGCACTTAAACAGCGCCTGCACTGCCTATGGCAGTTGCTCTGGGAAAGATCTGGCAGAGATGAAGCAAGAACAAGAATTAAGTTCATTATCTTGCTGAAGCAAGGAATATAGAGGCGGGAGGAAGAGAATGTGTCCTGGATTTCAGCAGGAGCCTTCAGAGGCCTTTACTGTTTCATGGCAAAACCCCAGAGCTTGTAGTGCATCAGCCTCTGAATTAGGCAGGTCCTTCATCCCACTTGGTTCCAGTTCGTAGCTCATGTGTATGAACTCGTGGTTGGGTATTTTGGGGACAGGAAAGACACGAGAGAACGTCACGGGGACACAGTGCCTGTGGGCAACAGGATGTGACTCTTCCCTTACCTGTATGCTTCTCTTAGAACGGGGTCTGACTTGTGGAGCTTTTACTAAAAGTTTCTGTCATACTGAAGTTGAGGCTCCGGTTTGGGGTTATCTGGTGTCGTTGGGACACGGGAGCCCTGAGTGCAGCATTTGTGACAGAGCAAAATGGTTAAAAGTAACTTTATAAACCCACAGTAGTTTCTGGCAACTGATTCAAGACACAAAGAAGAGAGCAGGACTTAAGAGATCTTGACTGCATGGTTATTTAACTCATACTTCTCCATTCTGATAAAAGGAAGAAACCTCAGCCTTTTAAAGAAAACTCACTAAAACATAGAGTTCCTTTTCCTCATTATGTGTAACAAAATAGAATGTTTGAGGGCATATAAACCTGTGTGTTTGCTGACTCTGTCAAACTGACCCAAAAGATCCCTTGGGAGAAAAAAATTAAATCAAGGCACATGATAAAGAGCTTGAATTAAATTAAATCAGAAACTGGGTTTTTCCACGTGGTTGTTGTGATTAAGAAGAGTGTAAATTAATAAGTTGCCTTTTTTTTTTACAAACAACAGAGTTGAAAATGTTTTTTTAGCTATTTTAAAATAAGAATTCGATGATTTCTTGCCTGAGCAGCCTTCTGTGGCTTACGTGCACACCACGCCGGGCTTACCTTCGGGCTGGGAGGAGCGCAAGGACGCCAAGGGCCGGACCTACTATGTCAACCACAACAACCGGACCACAACGTGGACACGGCCCATCATGCAGGTACCGTGCTGCATCCTGGCAGCCAGCACTCAGCTTGGCTCAGGGTCATTCCAGCCAAGGCAGCTGCCAGGAATCTGAAATTCAAAAGAAATGCCCTCATCACTGGCATGACAATACAGACGAATCATAAAAAGCTGCAATACTTTGGGATGGTTTTGGTTGCTTCTTTTAATTATATCAAGGCACAGGTTAAGGTGATTGCTGCAAGGGAGGGAATTTCCAGAGATGCAGAAGAGCTCTTAAAAGGAGACAAATGTGCTCTTTGGATTAAATGTGAAAGTTGGCTCAAGCCATTAATAGGAGCGTAGGTACTTGGCCCTTCCAGTGGAATTACATTAAATCCCCTTTCTGGCCTTTAAGGAAATCTGGTTAAGAACAGCAGCAGTGATGATAACAATGCCATCAGTTTTATCATGTCCTAAGTGTGGGCAGTGTTTGTGACATTTGTGACCTGGCTTTGCTCTGGCACAGCTCGCCGAGGACGGGATGGTGGGGCCGGGCACGAGCAGCAGCAACCACCTGAGTGAGCCGCAGATCCGGCGGCCCCGCAGCCTCAGCTCCCCCACTGTCACGCTGTCAGCGCCGCTCGAGGTGAGCCCTCCCGCTGCTCCTCACTCCTGGTCCTTCAGACAGGGGCTGCATTTCTTTCAAGTCTCTTTCCAAGTAATTCCAAACGCTGTGGACTGATGTTCACTGTGACAAGGCTAAAGAATAGCTGAAATGGCTCCCTATGCAGTCAAAGCCTGTGCGTGTTTGACTTCTGATGGCTCAAACTCTTGGTTCAAACTCTTGTCTTAGCTACTCATGGCTGTGCTGAAGAGAGCCAGTTCTTCGGATTTCCTCTTCACGCTTAAAAGTTTGAAGAGCTGTGGCTCACAGAGCCTCGTGCTTAAAGGCTTGCTTGTAAATGAGATATATTGCCCCTGAAGCACAAAACACTGCTTTTGTCTTTTCCTTGGTAAAATGAAACATGGACACATCCAGGGCAAGTGCAGGGGAAGGTACAACCAGGTGTAAATACCGGGGACGTTGTCATTGTGCAGAGGAAGGCACAGAACACCGTGTCCTTTACAGCAAAAGACTGGGCATGTTAGAAGGCACAGATAGAGCAAATTAAGTTCTAGTAAATCAGTCCCAGCATTTAATTTTAGTATTAATTACATCGGGAATGAAAAGCTATTTGCTGTGAAGCCAGTCGGGTTGGTTTTGCAGCCCCGAGTGCCGTGTGGGCAATGGTGCTGTTTCCTGCTCCGCAGGGCATGAAGGACTCTCCGGTGCGCAGGGCGGTGAAGGACACCCTGTCCAACCCTCAGTCCCCACAGCCGTCCCCCTACAACTCCCCCAAGCCCCAGCACAAGGGGGCCCAGAGCTTCCTGCCCCCGGGCTGGGAGATGCGCATCGCCCCGAACGGCCGCCCCTTCTTCATCGACCACAACACCAAGACCACCACCTGGGTAAGGGCGCTCCAGCCGAGGCGCCGGGGGCCGCGCTCCCGCCTCTGTCTTCCTGCCTGCATGCCCCTGTTTCAGCGTGGCACTTGTCTTTGTGGTTTTAAGAGCCAAAAACGTGCATGTGGATGTAAAAGCCCTTGTGGAGTGCAGGCATCCTAAGAACAGGCCTGTGGTTTTTGAAGCATATCCCTGGACATAGCACACATTTAATGGAGTCAGGTCTTACATCACCCTAACTCACTCAGCACTGGAAAATTCATTGCACTGTAGGAATCCTAATAAAGCATGTTTTGTTTTATTCTCGAAAAATAAAAGAATAAAAAGCTGTAAACTGTAACGCAGGAGGATTTCCAGATAAGTCTGTGCTTGACTTTGTTGATCTACCTTGATCTGTTGGATTTACAGTTGCATATCTGTGTTCCAGGAGGATCCACGGCTGAAGTTTCCGGTGCATTTGAGATCCAAAGCGTCTCTGAACCCCAATGACTTGGGCCCTCTTCCTGTAAGTGATGCTGTGCCTGTGTTCTAACCTACACCTCCTGTCCCAGGGCTCTGCTCTGTTCTGGGCACAGGCTGCTGCAGCCCTTCTTGGAGGCTCTGGAGCCCTGCTGTGCCCTGGGTCTTGCTCAGGCCCTCCAGAGCCAGCCCAGGAGTCTCTAACTCATGGCCTTTTCCTGTGCTACTGAAGTGTTGATCTTTGCACACACTTACCTGGGCTGCACCTGACTGTGCTTCTAGATAATCACTGCTTAGGAAAACCAGAGCAGATTGTGCCAAGCAAGCTCTATCACTGCCCCAACATATTGTAGCATTTAGAAATCGGAATAAATTTTGATTTTTCAATGAAACCTCCATATTTTGCAGAGCAAATCATCAATTTAATGTCAGAAGTTTTGTCATACTTGTAGTCAAAGTATAATGGGGATTTCCAGACATGTCAAATGCAGAGCTTTGCTTTCTTTTTAACATGCTCCCAGCCCTTAAAGGTAGAGAGTAATGTGTGAAAGCTGACACATTCCTGGTCACAGCAGCAGGAATGCTCTTTGGCTTTAGGAGACAGTTGTCCAGGTACGTGGGGCGTGTGTTAACCATGGAGGCACTGAAGGCCCAATTACAATTTGTTCTTTTAACTGCAAGGGGCGAAACATGCAGTGAAACCAGGGTAGCCTGACCTGTCACTAGCAACAGATTGTTAGTATCAGATTTCACCTTAGTTAAACCTCCTGGTTTGGAGTGAGGTTGGGATGACTGCAGAATTTAACATGAGTTTCTCCAACTGGACTGAAATGAAATAATTTCTCCTCTGTATTTTCTGGCAGCCCAGGCTGGCCAGCATTGCCTGTCCCTACATCCTGCCATCCACTCTCCTTTCTGCACTGCAAGCACTTGGGACATGAGAAAAGGGAACGAAGCACTGAGGACTAGGTTAGGACATTCTTGTCCCACTGTACAGGGAGCCTGGGTTACACATTTACAGTAAATAACCCACATGGCTTTCAGAAGTAAGAGCAGAAACTTTCAAACTAAGCCACGATGGATCATCCGTTCTCTGTGATTGTTTACTCACAGCAGGAAATGGGTGGGAATCCTGAGGCAAGAGGTTTCCACTATAAAAAATATTCCCTGCACAGGATGCAGTCACCTATATAAGATCTAGGTCTGAGTCTGTCTGGATTTGTGGCCTTGCCATTATGCATCTGGTCACTTGGGGTTTCCTACCTCATACCTTTGAGACAAGTCCAGTAGGTGTGAGCAATGCACTGCTTCAGGCTGTGTGAGACTGGTACTATTTCACTTACTCTGTCTTTTCTTTGTTTTTATTTCCCATTTCCAGCCTGGCTGGGAGGAAAGAATACACCTGGATGGAAGAACATTTTATATAGACCATAGTAAGTAAGCACTAAGGTACTAGAGCAAATAGACAAAGGGAGGTACTAAGTATTGAAGTGAAAGCTTTGTGATTTTACTCTTCATTTAGGAAGCCAGGTGTTGATATGTGGAGACATTGATACCAGAGACTTAGTGCCCTCCTACGGTACTGTACATTCACTGGAAGCTTGCTTTAATTGGCTCATCAAGCTTTGTCCCTCTCTGACTTGTGAAGCATTAACATTTCCTCTCTGTGGTTTATTTTGTTCTTGTTGATATTTTGGATTTGTTGTTGTTGTTGTTGATGATCCCATGGCTTATTTGCACTTAATAAATTAAAATATACACTAGGAATAGAAAATAAGATGAGAAAAGATCCTGTAGCCACAGCTCCACATATAGGCAGTGGAGCAATTAGCACTGAGAAGTACTTTCCTCTGCTTTCAGGTCTGTGGCAGTGCCGATTCTGATCTTATTTCCTATTTAGAGCATGTGAAACTGCACCAGCCCATTAATATTCTCCAGTTCTGTTAGTGGAGTTTTAGTGTAAGTGATGTTTCATTGTAGATTTGTCTTCTTAGAGCATCTCAGAACTGCTGTGTGAGTTTTGTTGGTGTTTGGAAACAAAGCAGCCCACAAAGGCTTCTTATAATAAGACATTTCTTCATAGCCATAGCTTACTCTCATAACCATCAGAGGAGGGTGCACAGAGAGTTAAAACCTAAACTTACCCATGTTTGACAGAATTAGGTTTGTCCCTCAGTATGACTGACTCCCACACTCGTCCATAGAGATGACAATATTAAGTCATTATTAAAAGAGTGCCTTTTAAAGTAATACCAATTCTGAAGTGGTATAAATCCTTTCAACTAAACATTAGAATTAATACACTTGTCAAGCACCCGATGAACCCCTTCCAAACTTTGGTACAGAGTTATTATCCCTTATCTCTCTTGTAATTGCTTTTCCCAACAAGAGATTTGGAAATACAACTATGGCAAATGATTCTAACGGCTGCCACTAAGGAGTCACAGGATAAAGCTGTCCCATTTAAAACACCCATGTAACTGCTGAGCCTCCCAATCTCTCTTAAAACTCTTTAATTTTTCAGTCTCCTAAAGCTATTTGAGCATGTGTTAGTCCCTAAAATGGAATGTTAAAGTCATACATTAATTAGAATTCCTCAGTGAATTTGTAGCTGCTGGGAAGCAAAACTTATGTGCATCTGAATTCTCCCTCTAGTCTCTTTTGATCTGAGTGGCTTTATCTCCTTACGTAGCATTTTCCACAAAAGTTTAGGGAAGCTTTTGGTAATACTGTCTGTTTCCAGCAGATGTCCCTTTGGTCCCAGCCTGGTGCCTCAGCACTGCTGTGTTGGCTGGGTTCTGGGGCCTGGAGGGCCAGGGGCTGTGCCACTGGCAGGACACAAAACCAGCAGGACAAGTCTGACAGAGTCAGCTGCTGGTCATGTCCTGCTTCCCTGCCACATTTTGTAACTCCGCTGCATAGCTCTCCAGCGCTGTTTGTCCTATTTTTGAAATGTTTTTCTCATCCCTGGGAGAAACTGCCAAAGTTCCCTGCAGCCAGCACAGCCCCTCTGCTGTACACAGGGACCAGGAGCCCTGAGCACTGCTGCAGCACAGCGGTGTTACTGGTACCAGAGGCTGTGTGTGACAGGGAACCCCTTTGCCTGTCTCTCTGGGCCCTCGGCTGCCCCAGGCACCTTACCTTCCATGGACACACTGGTGTTCCTGTTCCTGCACACCGCTGCCATTCCTGGGAGCCTCCCAGGCGTGTGCTGTCCTGTCTACCTGTTGGAAGGGATCAGAAGGGAAAACAACCATTCTGCAACCATTTTCTGAACCAGTGGTTCACTGACAGGATGATTACATTGGGATGGATACATCGAATGGGTTCCCCCCTACCTGCACATGGTGATATTCACAATATGCATCAGTGATTTACACAAGGAATTAGGAGGAAGCACTCCTTAGTTCAGCAGGAAGCAGCAGGGCAGGAGAGGGGAGAGGGGCTCCCTGGAATGGGATGGGAAGTCAGTGTGAGTCTGGCAAATGGCCACTGCAGTGTGCAGGAAGAGGCTGTGTAAGGAGAATTGCAAACTGTTACTCAGAATGGGAGTAGTTAGCAGAATTTGGGTCGAAAAGGGCATGAAAAATACCATCACTTGGTCATGAGCTATCTCACCCTGTGATGTATTGAGAGGAGTGCCTAAATCCAACCTGGAGTAACCCTTCTGATGCCATCAGCACTGGAATGTCTGGCTGTGGGAGTTCTGTATCTGGCAGGGGGTCCCAAACTTCAGGGAAATAGTGGTCCCCTTAGAAAGGCAGGGAGAAGAGGGAATCCTCAAAGACCTGAGAGCCTGGTTTATGACAGAATTGTATTCGTGGAAAGACTCAAATTTTTGACATTTTTGAAAACGTTCTTCAAAAGGAATGAGTTTGGTATCTGTATCCACTTGGGATAAGACAGAGAATCCTGAGCTACAGTTCCAGGTGAAGTGGCTCATGCCAGACCCTTGTAGCCCTGGATTTATAATATGAAGTCCCTGTAAGACTCTGAAGAGAAAGTTAGACTGAGATTTGTTGGTGTCATCGCACACTCTGAAGTACAGAGAGCGAAGAGCTGACACACTGTCAGTCATTTCTGTTACCTCTGATTCCACAGGAAACTGGCACTGTGATTTGTGGCCGCTGGCATCAAGAAGGTGACCAGAGAACTTTGTAGAAGTGAATTCCAGTGTAGGGGTTGAAAAGAGAAAGGGTTGGGCTGGGTTTCCACCTTGGCAGCAGTTCTGCTCCGTGCATCTCTGGGGTCTCTGGAGCTCAGGCTGGCAGCCCTCCAGCATTCCTGTAAGTGATAAATAGCTTTAATGTGTGAAGGGAAGTAAATTAGTGTTTTACTATTAAATTAACTAACAGATCAAATGGCTTGAAATGTGCTTGCAATCATTTAGAATTTTTTCCAGTTAACATTTGCTGAATGACACCTTTCAGATCCCAGTCCTTCTTAAACCAGCTTGGGATGCAAACTTATAGGGGTTTTCCAGTTCTAGAAACATGGAGAATGCAATCTTGATTCCTGATACCCAGTTCCTAACCCCGAGCAGTGTCTGTAACAAACAGAGGGATGGCAGGCCAAGGGTGACCAACACCTCGCCATTGCAGGTGGCAACTGGGATGGGGTTTGGAGCATTGTCTTACTGTTGCAACACCATTGTTTTGTTGTGATTCCGTTGTGTTCAGAATCTTGGGAGGAGCAGCTGTCTGGAGGCAGGGAAGGCGATTCCCACCATGGTCCTGTAGAACCTTTTCTGTCATCTTCCTGGTGCTCTTCAAAGCTGTAGATGGAAAGAACTGGGCTGTGTTGTGCCACTGCCAGCATCTCCATTGGTCATAACTGGGTGATTTTCTTGCACCAAAACAGGACAGTTCTGCCTCCCTTTACCTTCTCATTAAATCAGAGTCTAAGAAAAATGTTACTCCCTCCAAATTTAGAAGTATGATACTTCAGCTGTCTATGCAAAATTTCCAAGCAGTAACATAGGGTGTCATTGCCAAAAGTTCTGGGTTCCTTTACCTGTTGGGCCGTGTATCTCCAGTCCCAGCCCATGTTCAAATGAACATGTTCACTCACTCCTGCAGATGTTGCCATCAAAGCAGCGCAAATTCCCTGGGTTCTGGGGTAGTTCTGTGTTTTTGAGTGAGTGTTTTCAACTAAACGATGTGTTGGAGCTGGGGAGGGTGGGGAGACACAAGCCTTGCTAACCCTGACAGACCTGAGCAGTGCTAGGGAGAAAAAAACAACACAAGTTCACAGTGTGGTACCAGAGAAGCCATGGGATCATCTCTTTTGTTATTTGCAGATAATAAAATTACCCAGTGGGAAGACCCCAGGCTACAGAACCCAGCCATCACGGGCCCAGTAAGTACTGCTGTGGGATCTTCCATGCAATGCCCTGACTGGGGAGCAGCAGCAGGTCCTGCCTGCTCCCCAGATCACGGCTGGGCAGCCTGGAGAGCAGGAGCTCTGCTGGTCTACACCCCATGTCAGAAAGAGCTGGGAATGTCACACCAAGTTCTGGCCAGTCTCCCAGATTGTCCAGGGTTTGGGGATGGTTATTGGAGAAGTGCTCCTATTTACCCATTACCTGGGTCATTACTGACAGTAGGATTTTACTGAGCTGACACACTGTTCTGTTTGAGATCGCTGGACAATGAAAAGCTCTTTACACTTGGGAGGAGAGAGGTGGGCCTATGTTGATTCAAAGTGTGAAAAAAAAAAAAAAAGACAAAAAAATGGGTCTGTCAGTTTAAGAGACATAAAGCTTCCTGCAGATAAATAGAGGTTTCAGCCTTAGAAAAAAACAAACACAGGATTTTACTTCAGTATCAATTTTTAAAGCATCAGAGTGTTTCTTTTACTTTTTCTGCTGGGTTATGCCAGTTTATGCCATTTTATGGTATTCTGAGTGATCAGACTTCTAATCCCAAGATGTTTCCTGGTGCCAAGAGTACCTTTTTATTCTGCGTAAGTCCTTGGGACCTTTAAGACTTTCAGGACACAGCAGATGAGCCTGCTGCACAGTTAAATTTCAACTGCTTAGTAATAATGTCAATAATAGTCATTTTTTGACGATAGTTGCTTTTGGAGGGATTTACTCATTTATCAGGCATTTAAAACTGGAGATCCTCACACACAGTACTGTGCAAATTGCTAATAGGCCTCTCCCTAGAAATGCTGAGCATAAATGAGCGAGACTATTTGGGAAAGTTTGTGTGAAGGAAATGAAATCATCATGGTCTCCTTGAGCGACTGACAGTGGTTTGTTTGTTGGTTTTAAGGGAAAGCAGGAGCTAATCCATTTCACAGCAGCACTAAGGATTCATCTGAATGCTTTCAATAATATTTCTGGTGCCATGACAAACAGAATGAGTTAAATTGCATTTCAGGTAGTGTTTAAATAAAGGAAACACGTAGAAAGATTATTTAAAGGCTGTAGTAAAGTCATATTATCGTCAGTAAAATGATCAGAGTAATTTTGTGGGATTTTAAAATCTCTCCTGGCTGCTGTCCCTCGTGGGTGGGGTCAGGGGAGCCCACAGCACAATGTGTGGGTAGCAGGGCTGTCCATCCCTTTTAAATGCTGTGGGGTATCAAAGTGCTGAGTAGCAGGAATGACGTGTCCTCCCGCTGCTCCCACCAGGCAGTGCCATACTCCAGGGAGTTCAAGCAGAAATACGACTACTTCCGCAAGAAGTTAAAGAAACCTGTGAGTAGAACCAGCTCGGGGGCTCTAGGACTCACCTGCCACATTACTCCATTGTGCTGCTCATGAAGGGCTCAAGTAGGAACCAAAAACACAAAGAAAATTTGAATTTGATGCGTTTCTCAACAAAAGGCTTTTCTAAGTCTTTAAGACTCACATTTTTCTAAATAAATGCAAATGCCCTGAAAATAGAGCACAGTCGACCTTTCTCCTTTTTTGTTTTGTTTGTTTGATACTTTTCTTGTCATTTTCATCAAATATTTACCATAGAAGTCTGCAGCACTGTTCTGGAACTAGCCCAGCTCCCCCCATGCTCTCAGCCTGTGGACTGAGAGAGCACAGGGAAATAAAAACGTGGGGAACTGGAACACCAGGTGTCTAATCTGTCACTGAGCTGTTATCAGCCAGTAATTTGCCCAAAGACTTATTTATTGAGACTAACAAGGATAATCTAATCTTCTTTCACACAGGCTGACATACCTAACAGATTTGAGATGAAATTACACAGAAATAACATCTTTGAGGAGTCCTACAGAAGAATCATGTCTGTGAAGAGACCTGATGTACTAAAAGCCAGGCTCTGGATTGAATTTGAGTCAGAAAAAGGACTTGACTATGGAGGTGTGGCCAGAGAATGGTTTTTTCTCTTGTCCAAGGAGATGTTTAACCCTTACTATGGTCTCTTTGAATACTCAGCAACGTAAGTGTCCATTAGATATTTGTATTCTCAAGGGATATTAATTACATTTTGCATAAGAGGCAAAGCTGCTGTGGGCAGAAGTAGCTCCTCCTTCCCAGGGTGCCCTGGGCAGCCCCACTGCCCTGTTCCTGTTGCCCTTCAGAGAGCCTCTGGAATTCTCCTTGAGAACCCAGAAAATATTTCTGTTGCTCAGACAATATCCAGGGCAGCAAAACTGCAGTTTTTGAGGCCAGTAATGGCGAAGGGACCAATGTCACAGAAAAGCCTCTTTCTTCTGCTGCCCAGAGTTCCAGCACTGCTGTAGAGCAAGCTTGGAATGCAGGAGTTCCCCAGGAGTGGCCTCCCAGAGCTGTAAAGTGGGGGCTGCCCAGCTTTAAAATCTTGGAGCAATCCTTTAGAGCAAGGGAGAAGAGGGCTCCTGGTCACCGTGGGTTTGGTTTGCTGCTGTGTCAGCCCTTCAGCCCTCAGTGGCTCCGTGGTGGGACAGACTGGAAAGGACTTGGGCACAGCCCCACAGCGCTGTTGAAGGGATATGCCCCTAAGCACAAGTTATTTATTCACATATCTGAGTATGTGCTTATTTAAAGACTTGGTTCTTTAGCTATTTTTTTTCTTTCCCCAAAAAAGGGACAACTATACACTTCAGATTAATCCTAATTCAGGTCTCTGTAATGAAGACCATCTGTCATACTTCACCTTCATTGGCCGGGTGGCCGGCCTGGCCGTGTACCACGGGAAGCTGCTGGACGGTGAGTCCTGCTCCTGCTCTGCTGCTGCCACTGGGCTTTGGGGAAGGAGATGCACCTGCCTGAGAGCCCCAGCTTCTGGCCAGTCTGGGACTGGCAGTCTTGAGACTTGAATGGTGATTCACAAAATTACAGTGTCTTACTCCACAAGTGGGTTTCACATCAAGTTTTGCTCCTTTCTCCACTCAAGTTAAAAGTCCAGAACCAGCATGAGCACTGTCCCTAAAGGAGAAGAATGGAATTTGTATCAGTCATTCCCATGCAAACCTGCTGCCAAACGAGGGGCGTCAACTGCAGCATATTTTAATATGTAAAATTACTGCTGAAGGATTTAATTACAATTTCTGCTGCATTTTGAAATCTCACACCAGGCGCAGACATTACTGACCAGATTTTCCTGAGCCCTGGTGCAGCAGAGGAAGCTCAGCAGCCTGGTTTTCAGGCAACTCCTTGGAGAGAGGAGCAGTGATTTTAAATGCGACAGTGTGCCCTGAGCTCAATTCCCCAGCTTTTGGCTCTCTCTGCCACTAATGTTAGGGTGGTCAGTGGAGTATGGTAGTTGGTGGATAACTGTAGGAACTGAAAAATTTGACTTTCTGTGCCTCAATAAACCTGAGCTGCTATGATGCTGTTGCAGTTGCAGGACTGTTCCAGTCAGGAGCTAACAGGAAGTGCCAGGGGCGGTGCCCTCAAGCAGTGGTATCTCTATGGAATGTGCAGGTGCAGAGCAGGGCACGTAACGCTCTCCTCTCTCTTACAGGCTTCTTCATCAGACCTTTCTACAAGATGATGCTGGGGAAGCCCATAACGCTGAAGGACATGGAATCGGTGGTAAGACCCCATTTAAACCGTGCCAGGGCTCACAGGCCCATGGCTTTCTACAGCTCTGCACTAATCGCCCATTTTCAAACTGCCGAACTGTGATCTGCCCTAGGATAGTGAATACTACAACTCTCTGAAGTGGATCCTGGAAAATGACCCAACGGAGCTGGATCTCATGTTTTGCATAGACGAGGAAAACTTT